TATTATCTGTGACCCATGAACCCACACACATGCTCACACACAAACACACACCTTGACCCCCACCCACCCCTAACTTATCCCCCACCACCACCCTCTGAAAATCTATTGTATTCTTTCACATCTCTGCTCTTTCTCCTTCTTTGTGGTGTCTTGATGTTGTGTTCAAGCAGACTTCACAACCCTGTGATTTATCTTTGGAGTAAAAGCACATTCTTCAATCCGATGTCATTCATTAAAGATGGTCAGGCCCGGTTCTATGGATACAGCACTGAACTGATTACTTTGAATATTTTGTATATACTAACAATACAATACAATAAAACAAGTTTGAACAAATGATGCAGACACATCAGGGTTCAGGTATTTGAAAAAAAAATCCAAATCCTTAAAAAATGGCCAGATAGAGATTATTGAAAAATGGGTGGTTAAAGGTTCCTCTTCTCTTGTCGATTTAAATGAGAATACATGAAAAAATATCTCTTTGTGTCAGGTTAATGTCAATTACAAATTGCTCTAAGGAGATATTTGGTTCAAAGGATGAACAGCTAAAAAAGGGAATGAGCAGAGTGAAAAAAAAGGCACATCACTTTCAAGAACACTTCAAAGTCATTGCTTTGAGCGATCGAGTTGCCCCGATGAGTATTCCCACTTCCCATTAACACGGCAGTAACTACAACCACAATTAGGTTCCATCGGACGTGAAACGCATGATAATCGATTGCAAACATCTGAAAAATTACAACTCTGCTTCCCTGCAGACAAAAACGTCTGTGAAAGAGATCTGTGTCACGCTGTGTTTATTTAATGTCACTTTACCTGCGTCCTTAGCCCATTTGAGGATGGAGGTGACCTCATTGCCCTCTGTGGTGTTACACTGGGATCGGACAGCAGCTGCACTCACTCCCACCGTGCCCTCATTGGCCTTGACCCCACAGAGGTAAGCTGTGGCGGTGCCCGCACTGTCTGGCACCTGTGCGTTAGTGTTGTATGTCTGCAGGGGGGAGAGGCCATTGACATGTGGTCAGGATTGAAATAAGATTGTTTATATTCATTCTGATACAGTGTGCTTGTAATGAGGTGTTTTGTGTAATGTTTAGACATGACACTAACTGGGTTAGTTAAGTTAAAGGTCCAGTGTGTAACATTTAGGAGGATCTATTGGCAGAAATGGAATTTAATATTCA